CTGCTGGTTGATGTAAGAGACCACCGCTGTGTTGTCGGTGCGCACCAACACATGGTGACCTCTTAGGTCTGGGAGAAAGCGTTTCAGAACTCGAAACATGGCCAGCATCTCCAGACAACTGATATGCCACGTGAGATGGCGACCACTCCACAGACCACGGGCAGGGTGGCCAATCATGACCGCTCCCCAACCGGTGAGGGACACGTACGTCGCTAGCGTTACGCGGCGACAAGGAGCTCCCAGCACCGGGCCCTGAGACAGGAACCAAGGTTTCCTCCACATGTCCAAGGCATGTAGGCATCGCCGCGTGACCTTGAACATGCGAAGCGGGTTTCCCCTCGGGGAGAACCAGATAGGTGGTCCTCTGTAATGGAGAAAGCACACTCTTCTTGGCGTTTAGTCTTAACCCCAACTCTCTCATGAGAGCGAGAATGACATCTCGATGTTGAACCGCTACCTGCTCTGAATGAGCTAATATCAACCAATCGTCAATGTAGTTGAGTATGCAGATGTCCTGGCGTCGCAGCGGAGCCAGAGCAGCATCCACACACTTGGCGGGCAGTCAGCTCTCTCAAGAGCTGACTCAGCATGCTCCGCTCCCAGGCAGACAACACACAAACTGTGTGTATCCGCACCCGTAATGAAACGCGGGCAGGGAGGAACACACAGTTTGAAACGCTGGCCACCTTCGCCCCTGCTCAAATGGTGTTTTTTTTCATGTGCTTTAGACATAATTTCTTGTTCTATCTCTCTTTATTTTCTCTTTCTACGGGACAGACAACACCAAATAAGACACACAACTGACACACACACAGAGCGCTTGCTGAATGACAGAAAGCTGACGCTGGTCTCACCGCACGTGCTTTTATAGCTTCCTGGTCATTACGTCACCCGCCGTGACGTCTCGCCCATCTATTGGTCTGATTACACACGAAGTTCAGAGCCCGTCACACTGAAGGGCGTTCCCCTAGCGTTTTCCGACGTAGCTCGAGTTCCTGAAGAGGAACAAACTCATCTACAACTTTGATGGCCTGGGAGTGAGAAAATTTCAGAAATTTTACATTACATACAGCAACTACATACATCAGTTAGCATGTTACTGAATGCTTATCAAGCACTAAAGAGTGTTTAAAAATATACACATATACTTTACTTTCATTTTACTTCAAAATATACTTTAAAAATATACTTACTTAATATAACGACTAGCGATAACAATACAGCACCTCACCAACCTCTAGTGATTGAAATCCTGTCATGTGACCTTTACAGTTGGTTTGTTTTGACATCAGTGTGTGGTCCTCATTGAATCACTGTGCATGTCTACAACCATGTATAAATGTGTGTGTATGCAGTTGCACCAGCGCTGTGGCTTCAGTCTCGGCTTAGTCCCTCATTTGCGCTAATGGGTGGTTTTAAAATGACACAAGAGGATATGAGAGTTTAAAGCGCCCGGATAAACAGCACTGTAAAAACACAGGAGAATGCCCTTTTTACTCTGGTACCTCTCGCTAGTGCCTGTTTATTTCAGGCTTTCAAGAAGTTCCAGATGTCAGTGTGTCTGTTCGTACTGTACCCGTGTAAAGCGCTGCGTCAGCGGATCAAGCCCCTCCACCTTCCCCGCGGCGGTTATTTCATGATTTCCAGCGCTGCACTTTTGGTCTCTTCTGACTCACAGAGCCAAACTCTTACAAAAACCACTGTGGTGGAACCAGATGGAAATACCATGGTACCGTTGAAATATACTGTTGCACTGTACACTATTAGTAGGGTACATAAAAGAATACCATAGTATTATCATCACGGTACTGTTCAAAAACCATGGTAATACCTTGATGCATGCCCCAAAACATGGTAATGCCATAGTCCATTTGTAACAGAGGGATTTAGGGAATTGTGGGAATTATGAAGTGATCAAAAAGTTGCAAAATACAGAGCATTTTACATTTTAGCCAACTTTTGAGCATTTTGGAAGTATTTTGAGCAGTCATGTTTTATTTTTAGCATTACTGTTTTATTGTTGTTGTTGTTTTTTTAAATCTTGATTTAGGTAACAGAACAGTGGAACCACACTAAACAGTTATTTTAGCATCTTAAGTCAGGGTTATTATAATTTAACTAAAACTATATAAACTAAAACCATATAAATAAACTAAAATTACAAAATTAAAACCTTATAAAAACTATATAGAGATATTTAATTAATAAAAATACAAAAACACAGAATTACTAAAACTTTAGCTAAAATTAA